ACTTGTGACTCGATTTAAAACTGCTTCTGACCCAATTCGAGCAAAAGAATCTAAATCAACTTTTGAGACACTTTCATGAACCGCCCTAACTCAATTCATTTAGGGCGGTTGACTTGAGTCGAATCCAAAATGAATCAATTCAAATTAGCATCCTGAATCAAGTCATGACCCTGACTGAATCAATTCAATTTGGAATTTCCAGACCTGTGACTCGATTTAAAACTGCTTCTGACCCAATTTGAGCAACTAAATCAACTTTTGAGACACTTTCATGAATCGATTCATGAAAGCCTTGACTCGAGTCAGAAGACAAAAAAAAACTTTGAATCAAGTCAGAAACGTTTCTGAATCAATTCAAACAGCTAAGACACATAGTCAACTTAACAAATACATGGATAAATTTGAGTAACACGGAGCCATGCTCCCCCTGTAACAAATACTTAATCACAAAAATTATAGTTTTCAAACGAGAATCCTTTCTCCCCCTTTGACAAAATCAAAAAGGAAGAGGGACAAAAACAGGATGAACATATTGGAATAACACATAACCAATAACAAAAAGATAAACCAACAAACTCAAAGTGCAATAACAAAAATACACATCTCAAGCAAATTTAAATGGTTAGAACATAAGAAGCAGTTGTTAGCAGGGTAATAAAGTCAAGGTAGACATAACCATAATATAATCCACAATGTGTCAACATGAAGAAATATAAATAATATGCAAAAAAAAATGATAAGATGCAAAATGATGCATTATGAATCCTCCATATCAAGGTCCTCATGATCGGCAGACGCTCCAGATTGTCCAATGTTAATAGCAGCGAGCTAGGCAAGAATGAGATCCAATTTGGCATGATGTTGGGCAGACAATGTTTGTTGCTTAGCACTGCAGGCAGTGGATGAAGATGCACCAGTCGGGTGCGAGGAGGCAAGAGGAGTATGTTCTGGAGGAGCATTCTCAACATTCACAAAGAAGGTCTCATAAACTCGAGAAAATTTGTCTTGAAAGTACCATTCATTTCTGTCCGAATCAAAATAATATTTGCATTGATGGAGGGGGGAATCATTAAAGGAGACGGTGCACCAGCCAAGTCACTAAGAGTGGAAGCCACGCCAGCCTTATTCAGAATGAATTGCACGAATGATGGAAAGTAGAGAGGCTTAGAAGCACTGCACTTGCATTCCATGATAATGTAAATAATAAATTTCACCTAATTCACTGTAGTCTTATTAAGAAGAACCTAGAGCAAAAATAAATCAAAGTCATCTACTTGGCCAAAATTATCTTTTCGACGAACCAAAACTTTTGTGATCACCCAATGGAGAAATTGAAAATTAACTTTTAGTTGTCCAACAGTGAAATTCGAATACAACATGTCCGGATGATATACTGTTTTGGAGATCTGAGTCACAAGCGACGTGCGTTGATATTCAGATTCTAGAGCTTCTTTAGTAAATTCATATCCCGAATTGTCCAGACTGAAGTCATCCTTAAAATCTTGAGCATTGAAAGTGATTGTCTTGTTCTTAAACACACAGAAGAGTCTAATAGCATTTTCAATTGGAACAATACATCAGTAAAAAGCCCTAACATGGTGCTCATTAAATTTTTGGGATAAGCTTAAGAATTTTTCTAGTTTGTGGTCTTCAAGGACTTTAAAAAAGGTGAGACCAGGTTTAGTAGCAGCTGTTTTGGTGATGTAGTTTGGACCAGACAAGGGTTTGGAGAAGAAATTTTCAAGATATACTTTCTGAAGATTATCTGGAATTAAAGTTTGAACCTTGTGAAGCTTAATACTTGTGTCTGTAACAGTAGGACACACAGAAGATTCACCTCAAGATTGTCTTGAAATGGAAGAGTGTTTCTTGGTAACCTTAGAAGAACCAATTTGTTGAGACATTGTTGATACTGTTCTTGAGTACGAAAAAAATAGAGGAGATGAGATGAAGGATAAATGTGTATGAGTGAGTATGAGAATGAGAATTAAAATGATGTTATGTTTGAAGAGATAAATGATAATATGGAAACGAAGCGAAAAGAGAGAAAGGATGAATAGAGAAGAAATGAAAAAAAATGTCCTTGATTAAGATATCAGTTATTTCGTTATTTTGATGCTTTGCTTATGTTTATTGTTTAATTTGAGTTCCCTTGTTTCTTAATCATAAAACACATGCTAAAGAATTTTATCCATGTATTTGTTAAGTTGACTATGTGTCTTAGCTGTTTGAATTGATTTAGAAACGTTCCTGACTTGATTCAAAGTTTTTTTTGTCTTCTGACTCGAGTCAAGGCTTTTATGAATCGATTCATGAAAGTGTATCAAAAGTTGATTTAGATTTTGTTTGCTCGAATTGAGTTAGAAGCAATTTTGAATCGAGTCACATGTTTGGAAATTCCAAATTGAATTGATTCAGTCAGGGTCGCGACTTGATTCAGAATGCTAATTTGAATTGATTCATTTTGGATTCGACTCAAGTCAGCTGCCCTAACTGAGTTGAGTCATGAAAAGTATGAATCAATTAATGTAGTTCATCTTTACTCATTAATTGTGCATTTTCTCTTGCACCTATAAATATAAGTTTCATTTCCTCATTTCTTGAGAGATAAAAAAATTTTCAGTTGGAAAACCTTTGCAAACACAACTTCATTCTCTCTCTCAAATCTTCATCTTAATCATACTCATGGAAATTATTCTCTTGCGTGTGTATGTGTGTGTGTATGTTTGTGTGTGTTTGTGTGTGTGTGTGTGTGTGATGATTAAACATTAGAGATATAATTGTTCGTTGAAGTGTGCAGATTTTTGCAAGAGGTATTTTGATCTTGGAAATTTCAAGAGTTGAAATTTCTTGAAGAAAAAAAGAAAAATAAGCTTTTCTCCATTGTTGTGGAGTTTTTCTGTGGATGTGTCAACTTGTCGAAGAGAAGGATTCAAGGCTTGGAATTTCAATGTTGTCATCCAAAGATAAGTTTTGATATCTTGATCTCTAAACACCACAACTTTATCATGACATCAGATGAAGATTTTACCTCAGAATGTTGTCATCATCAAAACTAGATGGACTTGATCAACATTTCTAATGAAGACTTCATTTTAGAGTGTTGTCATCATTAAAATCAAACATGTTGCAGCAGACATCATACCTATAAGCACATAGATCCATATTTAATTGTCTCTTAAATTTTAAATACTAACATTGAAAGGGAAAACATCAGAGAAATGAACTCATAGAGGTTGACAACTTGATCTTATAACAGAGGATCAAACTGTCAAGTTTAAATTTAGAGTTGACATAGGAAATTGATTATTACTTAAGTACTTATGTCTAGATGATATCGTTGATAACATGTACCCGCAGGTACCAGATGGAAGTCTTAATGATGTGTGCCTAGAGTATGCCTTCAATAGATGTAGTACCAATATACTTAATGAGCATTGTGTTAGATGATATTTTTTCAAATTTATCTTTAACTGAAGAAGATCATATTATATAAACTTTCCAGATGATAGTATTTAAACATGTTTTCTTAAATCCAACTTGGAAAGTCATCCTATTATTTAGGGAGTTTGGAGAATATCGAATATAAGAAGTTAAATCATGATTTACGATCACAAGAGATAGGTATTTGATATATCTTAAGACATTTTCAAGATGTGACTTAATCGCTCATACTTTAACGTGATAATTTTTTTTCATAAGTCAAAATCATATGTCTTTTATAATAGAATTCAACTCCTCCATCAAACCAAATCAATACTTTGATATTATTTGTTAGAAAAAATTAATACTTTGATATTATTTGTTAGAAAAATCTATAAGAAACACAAAAATAACTACAAATCAATGTTTTCTGGTCATTAGAGAGGGTAACCTTACATTTTGTACTAGTATATTTGTTAGGAATATATGGGAGGTGATACAATATCCCCCAAGAGAAAGTGGGAAATTCCCATCGGCCAAAATAATACCCCTAGTCATCTTTTGTTTATAACGTTTGCTCATTTATCATAGTGATCACCCCTGAAAAAAAGTGGGAAGTGATGTGTCCACACATACTCCATGCCTTTGAAAGTGAGTATTACTTTCTTGAAGTCTAAGATTCAGGTTCTGGGAACTCCTATAAATATTTTAACCTTGAAGTTGATGAGGACATTTAATTTGACCTGAAACACATTAGTATACAGAATTTCTCACCACCTTATATGAATTTACTCTAACACCATAATCATCACAAAAACTTCTAACAAAAGTTAACCATAGGAGAATTTCTCACTACCTTGTATGAATTTACTCTAACACCATAATCATCACAAAAACTTCTAACAAAAGTTAATCAGAGGGGATTGTCATGTATTATACTTTTAACAAGTACACATTTTAAACTCAAAATTCTAAAATATTAAATATATACATTATTTCTTTTAAATATCTATTATTTTAAATATATAAAAGAAATAATGTATATATTTAATATTTTTTGGTTATTTTTTGTATGTTTATGCTCCCTTAGATATTTTTCCACCATTTTTGTATGACCATTTATGTTTAAAAATCATAAGTAAATTGAAAAACAAATTTAATTTAACATTTAAAAAACTTAATTTTTAATCTCTTATAACACTAATAGTTATAAGATTTAATATGTAAAAGTATTATTGTTATTACAATAAATTTCTTAACATATGTGAAATTTATAGAAGGGACTAGTATACAGTGATAAAGGAGAGAGTAATTTATTAATCAACTCATTCCAACTCCTGATGTCTTTTTCTTGTTAGATTTCGATTATCAGTTGCAATAAATAAATATTTTCAGAACCTTTAAAGTTCACACTTACAGTTCACACTACAACTTCCTTTACCAGTTACCTCTATAAATTCCCACCTTCAATTCCTACAACAACTCAACACACACAGAATCTCTCTCTTTTCCTATTCCTCTCAAAGATTATCTCAGCCATTTAACTTTCTTGTTACCGATACTAAAATAAACCAAATATGAACAAAATAACAGCCCTATTCTTCATGTCTCTAATCCTCTGCTGCATGCTTACCCACTCTGCACGACCTGAACCATCTTCTCAACAGGAATCTTTGGTAGTAGCACAGCATGAGGTTGGTTCTATTTTTGTTGATTCTATTAACTTTTTACACAATTTTTTCATATGTTCTATTGATGCTTAACAAGTGTATGTTTCAATTTACATTTCATATGTTTATAGGATGTTGAGGCAGTTGATACAACCTGTGAAGGGATTGAAGAGGATGAATGCTTGATGAGGAGGACACTAATTGCTCATACAGACTATATTTATACACAGAAACATAACCCTTGAAACAATCTTCACCCTTTCCTTGTTTTGGTGTGGTTCTTTACTTTGATGTTTTGTGTAATATATTTGTACTATGTCTTTGATAGTGAGTTTATTGTAACATACAATTACTAGTAAGCAAACAAAATCAATTATGAATAGGGGGGATCTATTTACTTGAATCCATTGAGTATCATAGCAGTAATATTTATGATAATCCTCGTTTTTAAAAATAAAATTATGACAGGTTAATAAAGTGACAGAAAAAGTACTCTGTGACCGTGAGTATATTTGACTTGTTGAGGCAACCATAAGTAGATTTAATGCAAGTTATTACTCTTCTCTGTATACAATATTCAATGTGACCAACAACTTTAGCAGCTTATTCAGATGGCAATATTGATCAAATTGGTTGATGGTTGGGCCTTTCATTATAGATTCAGGTGTTATTTAAGACTTTTTATTTGACTTACACAGATAGAAACCCTCAAAAAGATATGCGGCTATTGACAGGACGTGCCTTTTTGATGATGTTGCATGCATCAATATGCAATGATTCAGTCATAAAAACCATATAGGCAAAAATTACTAGTATAATTTTGGGTTTTTAACTAATGCCAAGTTCAGTCATAAATAAGCACATACTACATACTGTGCTTTAAAATCTTTTTCAGTGATCTACTAATACTCCTTTATAATCAACATATGCCTGCATACTTTGCACATCACATTTGATAGAACTCACAAATTATCTACGAAACTGTATGTTTGCAGAATGCAAATCGCGTGTAAGCTCTTACAACAGGAAATGAAAGATAAACCAGAAATATATTTCCAGTTATATGAGCATAAATCCAAGACCCATGAGAGAACAAACATGTGTTCAGGTGATCTGCCCAAAAATGACTCATGATTATGACCAACCAAGTGTCTTCCTTTTAACTATGTGTTTGAGTCACATGATTGGTCATGTACAAGGACCACTCGACCAATCCTTCTAAAATTATTACAGCACCTGATTTAATCCAATTTGGTTTAGAGTTCCTCAAGCATTGAGCTTGTAAGGCAAATACAGTCTGCCGTACAATCAGTCGATATATACTATGTTCCAGAGTACTTATGAGCAAAAAGAATGATCTACCAAGTAATCGACTAGTATCCTGAGCAGTCTATAGTCTAATTTATAAAATAAAACTACTAGATCACAACTCATATTTAGCTAGCTAATATACAACAACAACCTCTTTACAACTCTTATTGTAATGACAGCAGAAGAGCAGTTTTAGCTCATTTGAACCCCTACTACTATAAAGAAAACAAAATTTAATCAAACATTTAACAGCTACAATTCTCTGTGCAAGTACCAGCCAGATATCAAAGGTTCTGCTTCTATTTGTGATTAAAGAATAATAGGTGACAAAAAGTTGCAATACACTCGCACTCACTATAAGCACAGATATAGAATAGGTGGGATTTAGCTGGTTGAAAATGCCAAAGTTTACAAACAGGGAATAAGGAAGTTTTGGAAGGTGGTTGTCCTATGTGTGATACATTGCGAGTATAAGCAAAAACAGAACATCAGGAAGTATCGTGTATATGGTCACTTTATATCTATCTAAATCATTTACAAAATTAATACATGTATGATATAAAGACATACAGTATTATAATAAAGCATTGAAACAGCAAAATAAATACTGTATTTCCTAGTTCAAATTAGGGATCATATTCATATCTATTATGTGCAGGCACAACTAGAGACATATTACTATATTATGAAGATTAGTAACCACCACTTAAGCAGGCACCAAAGCCCAAGTGCAGTCCATCACGTGCAGGCATAACGAGAGACATATTATGAAGATAACAGAGAATTTAGCCGCAGCATATCTCATAACCTCGACCACTGCCTTGTGAACTTTATGAGCACATCTTCTCACAGAAGCACATAATGTTTGCAAAATAAACTCCATGAAAGATCTAACGGTCTCAAACGTGACCCTCCCAGTCACATCTAGAACAAGTTTCCTATTACTAGGAATAGCCAATGTGGACGAAACCTTGTTGACCCAACCATTTTTATTCTCTTCATCACAAACATCTCCTTTCGATTCAACACATGATGCCTCTCTAGAACTTGGAGTTTCTTCAATACCAAAACAAGAAACCGCACCCGAATTATCGTCCACGTTTGAGCTATTAAACACCTGGTGAGATGTTTTTACAAGACTCTCTATGGCACCATTACAAACATCAACCAACATTTCTCTAACCCTAGTTTCATTTTTCGGGTTAGTTAATCCCGAAAATAAATCATCATATGTATTGATATGCATGGTTTTGTCGAGATAAACAGCAACCAACGTGCTAACAAACACTTGAACTAAATTCCCAATTAGTTCCCCGCATTTACCACCACAAACAACATCAACCCATTCCGGAACAACCGGATCAGAATTCGAATTCCCATTGCCATTACTTGAACTCGATTCTCCACTAAATTTCCCATTGGCATCGGAATAAAAACCGATAACTAAGTTCCTAGCAAAGCTTCCAATAACAGCAGAAGCAAAACCTGAACCAGCTGGTGTAAACATTTTATCAAACACCTGGTCCGCAATCTTTGAACCGGCACCGGATTGATTTTCATCGGTCCGGTTCACGGTTTGATAACCGCGCAAGACTCCAACAACCACGGAAGTAACGATACTGACCAAAGAATCTGAAAACTGTTTCGAGGCAGATAATTTAGAGATTTGATTCAAACTATTAGGAACTCGATCAGAATCGGATTGTAAAAAATCCTTCACGTCTTTGGTGACAATACCAATTGTATCTGCAGAATCGGAAACTGCTTCTGCTACAGAAACCAGTGAATTCAGAATCTTAGAAAAATTCTTTCGCTTTTGAGCTATGAAAGGTGCGTGATAAGCTCGGTAACAACCGTAACTGCTAAACCCTACTGCAAGTAAGATGAAGGTCCATTTCTTTCTTTTGCGGACATAATCGAAACCGTTTTGAACTAATTGAAGTTCCATTAACTGAAGTTAGTTAACGATGCAGAAACTCCGAAAACAAAGGTGGAAGAAGGTTGTGAAGTGAAAATGAAGGAGGAAGCTTTGCGATTGGTGGAAGCGATCGTCGTGTTCAATTCACTCGTCTAACTGTCACATTCAAAATACAACAGCCACTTAAATATTCATTATTTTTTAATGGTAGAAGATAATAATAATAATAATAATAATAATAATAATAATAATAATAATAATAATAATAATAATAATAATAATAATAATAATAATAATAATAATAATAATAATAATAATAATAATAATGTTTTTTATATGATAGATTTCTTTTTAAATCTCTTTATTTGTGCTTCTTTTTAATTCATTTTTTTTATGTTTAAAGCGAGAATAAAGCAGACAAGATAAATAAGTGGATAAAAAATATCACACAATCAACTTTTTATACCATTAAAGGAGCACAATCAACTTTTTATACCATTAAAGGAGCAATAGAAAATAAATATCACGGGTGAGTTGCTCAATATAATTGCTTAAGAAATTAAAAATAAAACGGCTAGAGGAGAATCATCCAATATAATTAATGGAGAATAAAAAGTAAAACTTTTGTGTTCATTTTAGAATTAGAATCATCCAATATAATTGATTGACTTCTATAAAGAATCAATCATGAATAGGGTTGTCCATGACCGAATCAACTCGAAAATAGTTCGAAATTTGGTTTAACAATTAAATTGTTGAACTAAGTTCATGAGGCAAATGAGTTGAATATGAGTAAAAAATTAAGTTCTTAATTAAATGAGATAAATTTGAATTATACATAATTCGATTCGTTAAATTCATGAGTCAACTCGATTACATGTAAGAATTATACTGTCTTTAAGATTATGTTTAAATATTTACTTCAAATCTTAGACAAATTTAATATTTAATTTAGTAGTTTTTGAATTAGACTCTCAAATGTATTTTTTAAAAGTTGTGTAGGTTTTGAATTAATAGATTTCAGAGATAAAGTTAAATTTCAATATGATAACTTTTATTTTATTTTTAAAAAATATTAATTTAAAATGTCAAATATACTAAAAAAATAGATTTAAAAAAATAGCTTTTAAGTTCGTGAACCATGTGAACTGAACATAATGAGATGAATCTAACGAGTTGAACTGAACTGTTCGTGAACTTATAATAAGTCAAATTTAAGCTTAAAAAAGAGTTTGCATTGAACTTGAGCCGAGATTTGAGCTGAATCAATTCTTAACGAGTCGAGCTGAACTGAGATGAGTTCGACTCGACTCATTTCCAGCCCTAATCCTGAGATACATTCTTCTTAATGGCCTTTAATAATTCACATATATCTCTCTCTTAATCATCCTAAAACGCATCAAGTGTCTTTTTCAGTCTTATTCGGAGCATTATTTACATTAATTAAAATTTTATCTACTTTGTGTTTCGTCTTATATTTCTTATTAATCCAAAAGATCCAGGATTATTAAATCCAAAGGATTTAAATTATATTAAATATAATCGTATGAATTTCTTAACTTTCACAAAAATGTGATTTTTATATATATTATTCTAGACTAGTCCAGAGGCTGGCCTATCGTCGGACACGGCTCAATCCAGCTCTTCATCGGGGAGAGTCCAATGAAGGCCCAACCCATCAACGCACACGGGAAGCTCTCACACGTCTCTCCCACGGTCTCCACGTGCTTCCAACACAGGGAAACGTCATCAGACAACTATTCGCGTCCGAAAGAACAAGTCACCCACCTTCCAAAAATCACGGGACAGTTGACCCAGGGCGAAGACCGTGTGCTGGTCTTCCCTACGCCACGTAAGCCCTGACAGTTACTCGTATTGGGTCTTGCAATCCAGACTAGTGCAAAGTAACCGTTGGCCCAGCGCTTAAGGCACATTATAAATACACTCTTTCACTAGAGGGTCAGTTATTCTATTCTTTCTACATATTTTCTACACTTGCTCTTTCCATACACCCCCTCCTCTTCTCCACCACCGACGAATTAAGGAGCTCACGACGTGTTACTGGCTACTGATCCTTTTCTGATCCGGTAATATCATATATATATATATATATATATATATATATATATATATATATATATATATATATATATATATATATATATATATATATATATATATATATATATATATATATATATATATATATATATATATATATATATATATATATATATATATATATATATATATATATATATATATATATATATATATATATATATATATATATATATATATATATATATATATAATCTGATCTCTAAATCAAAGTCATCATCTACCTTTCGTTTGAACTTTTAAAATGTTAACTGTGTTTTTTTACGGAAGAAAGAGACAATTTTGTTGCTTTATAATCTATTCATGTATATTTTATTTTATCGAAATTAAAATAGAAGAAATATAACTTCTTTTGTATAAAGGGAATACAAGTTTTTGGAATGTACTATTTTTATTTTAAAATTGTTGTTCTTCATCTTTTTTACAAATAATTTGCGTGGTTGGAAATTTTTGTCGGTTACCAATTAAATAGGTAACTTTCATCTCTCTCATTTATAACTTTCATTAACTTCAGTTTATAGCACTTCAGATCTTTTTCAATCTTCTTTTATCTATAACAAAAGGCTTCAATTTGTGGTATTTTAGATCTTTTTCAATTATCTATAACAATTTTGAATATTATTAATGTTATTTTAATCTATCACCATAAATTAATAGTATCAAGTAATTTGGTCTCTGAATCAAAGTCATCATCTACCCTTTCTTTGGACTTTTAAAACTTTAAAGGTGTTTGTCACGGAAGAAACAAACGTTTTTGTTGCTTTATAATCTATTCATGTATATTTTATTTTATCGAAATTAAAATAGAAGAAATATAACTTCTTTTGCATTTAAAATCTCACTTATGTGATCACATTCTTTCATGTTTAAAATCTCTTCAATCTTTCAAATTATTTATTCAACATTTACTTTTCTACTAATTTTTTCTTGATGCTTTGAAAAATGAACAAATATATAAAAGAAAGTTGAACAAAAACAAGAAATATTGCATATATTTTAACCATAAATGAGCATTAGATAAATTACGAGTTGATGAATGCTAGAAAAATATTAATCAGTGTAAGATGTGTTTCTAATACAACATAAATTTTCATATGATTATTTTCAAAATCAATTTATAAAATTATATGTTCAAAGAGGGATTAGTGAAACAAACAATCGACATTAGATATAATAAACTCAACTCGACAGAATAAGATGAGAGATGCACAGAGAATCACAAAAAACATAATCTCAATATCAATTTGAAACTGAAACACAATAACAACAACTAAACTACAACATATATATTTAATAAACTCAAATAAAAAACAGTAACATAAAAAAAAAACAATGAATAACATCAACAACAACATCTATAAGCAATCTCTAAGGTTTAAGGCCTCAACAACAAGAACAACAACATCAACAAAACCAACATCGATAAGCCTATAACATAAATATGTTTAATTAGCAACAACAACAAGATTAAGTCTCTTTAGTTTAGGGTCTCAACAACGAGCCTTAACAACAAGAACAACAACTTTAACAACAACAACATCAATAAACCTATAACATAAATTTGTTTAAGCAACAAAAAGAATAAGATAAAACCTCTAGGATTTCGGATCTTTACAACAACAACAATATGAGTTGTGATGTTTGACGTATCATATATCTGAAGAAGATAACAACAATATGAATAATGAGGTTTGACACACCAGATCTCTGAAGAAGAAGTAAAAAAATGATTTAGATCTCTGAAGAAGAAACGAGAGTTTTAAACACATAACATTTTCGTATTGAAGATGATATGTGTTTATGACTCTTTTGTTAAGGGTCCTTCATTAGGATTCTGCTTGTGTCGTTTAGACAAGTGAAGCTAAAGCAATATATATATATATATATATATATATATATATATATATATATATATATATATATATATATATATATATATATATATATATATATATATATATATATATATATATATATATATATATATATATCAGATGAACATATTCACCTCGTTTGAAGGGGAAAAAACAAGGTGAAAAATGATGTATTTTTAAATTAAAAATAAAATATTCAAGAAACCGTCATTTTTAATGAGATAAAATGATAATTGAAAGTTGTTGAGAATTAAAGCATGTACACTGAAAAAAAATTATTAGTTTTCAAAATAATCGAAAATGGTTGAGATTCAAAAAAAGAAATAGTGCATTTAAAAAAATTTTACCATGAGATGAAATCGTTATTATAAAAATTAATTTTTCTAATAATGTAAAAATTCAATATGACCCCGCATCTTTGTTTTGTTAAAGAAAACAACAAAACAAAATATTGTAAAATCAAAACATAACAAGACAAATAGAAAGAAATCAACAAATTGAAAAAGAAATATTTCTATTCAAGAAATTATACGAATCAGTTTAATTGTAATTGATTTTACCATCGACAAAACATATTTCTATTCAAGAAATTATACAAATCAGTTTAATTGCAATTGATTTTACAATCAACGACTATATCAATCCGTTTAATTCTAATTACTTTATAATCAATTCATTTTTATATTTTAAATTTCAATTATATAACCTAGTCTATTTGTATATTGATATGGAATTTTCTTTTAAAAAAATAACCATATTTTTAAAATAAATTCTAAACTAACCATTTTAAAAAATATATCAAACTAACCATGTTTAAAAAAAACTATTAACAAAAAAATACAGTAGCACATGCATACAACTTTTATATACCGTAGCAACGGCCTGTGACACATGCATATATAACTTTTGTACCTAATAGCAATTGCCTATGGCACAAGCATATGATTATTTTAGAATTTATTTTCAGAAACGTGATTATTTAAAAAAAAATTATCGTTGATTGAACATGTAACACTTATATTTTCTCGTGTAACTAGATTCCCTATTCAAACGCTTGAACATAACAACCCTCTAAGTATATCCTATCACCAAACTACTATCACAAAAGTATATAGTAGTAATGTGTTTCGTTATGCGCGCGCTTTGATAACTCATATATATAGCCGCAACAATAAACGACCCGGGTCTTTCCGCGGAGCCAAAATTAGAAAAATCAGATTTCACAATTCTCTCTCAAATTCTTTCATACAATTCTTCCTCTTCCTCATAACATTACAGGTAATTCATAACCGCCTCATATTTTTCATTTCCCCCAATTTTTCTACATTAATACGTATATTCTTTGACGTTACGCTTTCAACATTTCAAAACTATACAGCCTATGATGATGATTCTGATGTCAATCTTAATTGTTATGTAGATATATAAGCACTTCTTCTTCTTCCCACGTTATCACATTATTGTATTCTCCATAGAATAATGGAAACAATTTTTCATTCTCGTGTTGATAGAGAGATTGAAACGCTTACTGAAAGATTACATCCTCCCAGGTAATAACACCTTCTTTTTTTTTAATTTAATTTCTACATTCTGTTTCATATGAATGCTCTTCTTTTTTTTTTCTTAGCTAATTAATGGTAAATTAGGTATAATGAATTTTCTGTTTCCAGGGTTTGTATAGACAATAATTCTTGCAAAGACTGTACTGTTCTAAAGGTTCGATACAATTCTATAAAATATTCATATGTGTAGAGAAAACCAGGCCAAAATAATGAAATAGTTTAAGCTTTTAAGCTTTTTTTTAGCTTAATTTTCTTATAAGAAGTTAGAAATATTTATTTAATTTAACTTTATGATTATTAAATTGTATGTTGTTGCCGACATATTTTACAGGTTGATAGTGCAAACAAGTATGGGATATTGTTGGAGATGGTACAGGTGTTGACAGATCTTGGCCTCATCATTTCCAAGTCATACATTTCTTCTGATGGTGGATGGTTTATGGATGGTTAGTCTTTATCTATCTATCCCTTTCCAATCGACTTTTTTTTCTCTGTAGCACCGACACCTGTAAAATTGTGTTACTGTTAGTGTCTGAAACTTATACATACACTAATTTATTTATTTTTCAATTATTACCGGAATTGACATGTAAATGTTGGTGAAGTGTTTCTGGGTGTCTGTGTTTCATAGCTTTCTTATTTTCATTAATTTTTTGATGAATCCATCATAATGATAATTGAGCAAATTATTATCAAAAAACTACTTTTATCATGTTCTGATAGAAGTTGTGTGGTGCAGTGTTCCACGTCACTGATCAAGCTGGCAATAAGGTCACTGACAATAACCTCATGCAAAAAATTGAGAAGGTTTTTATGTCTCATCTTATCTAAGTCTTTAACTTTTCAAATTAGTAAATAGGTAAGTTACTGATATGAAATTAAACTAAGATATGTCCTTATGTTCACAGGAACTATGTGACACAAAAGCAAAAGAGGACATAGATGATGAAACAGAACTCGAAAGCCGCGAGGAATTAGAGTCATATTACACAAAACTAAACGTGTCGACCGAGAACACAGCATTGGAGATGAGTGGGATGGATAGACCGGGTCTGTTATCTGAAATATCAGCAGTGTTAGTGAAAATGGGCTGTAATGTCACCTCAGCAACAGCATGGACTCACAATCGAAGGGCAGCCTGCATAATTTACGTAGAAGAAGAATCCAAACCTGGTCCGATCAAGGACCCTAAGAGGTTGGCCCATGTGAAGGAAGAGCTGGAGACTGTTGTGCAGGCCCGTGGTGTGAATGGAGACAGAAACAATGTGAGGTTGAGAAACTTTGCCACCGGGCGCACACACACCGAACGGAGGCTTCACCAGCTAATGTACGCGGACAGGGATTACGAGGGTTGTCGCCCTTGCCATGGATATAGTAGTGGAGAGCATAAAAGGGGGTGTGATGGGACTCATGTGTCCATTAGTAGATGCGAGGACAGAGGGTATTGGGTGGTGAATGTGATTTGTAAGGATCGTCCTAAATTGTTGTTCGATACAGTATGTGTTCTAAGAGACATGCATTATGTAGTGTTTCACGCCGCCATTAGTTCCAAGAAATCCATAGCCAATCAGGTACTAGATTATCTCAAATTCTATCTGGTTACATAAAGTTCAAGTTAAGATGTTGAGTTTAATTAGCAGAAAAAAACTAGTCTATTGCAATGTGACAATAGTATCTCCAATTGGATTATATGTAGAATAGGAACTATGGGAAACACAAGGAATTTAGTTTAACGAATATTAAAAGATGGACCTATAATTCATTTGCATCTATACATTTTTTGCAGGAGTACTTTATAAGGCACAAGATGAATAGTTTAGCTCTTCGAACACAAAGCGAGAGGGAAAAGCTCGTCTTATGCATTATAGCTGCAATAGAGCGTAGAGTCTCGCACGTAAGTCCTATAAAAGATAACATTAATGTTTCTCTTGTATTTTCCTTTTTATGCCATAAGAATGTGCTGATGGTGACTTTAAACATGTTATGGTGCAGGGTTTAAGGGTTGACATTTGCACTCAAAACAGAATGGGTTTACTATCGAAAGTAACCCGCGTGATTCAGAAAAATGGATTATCAATACCAAGAGTTGAGATTGGAACACGAGGAGAGAATGTAGTGGGAACATTCTATGTCACAGATCCTTTAAAGCATGAAGTGAATCCAAAAATAGTAGAATTGTTGAGAAAAGAGTGTGGTGGATCCGTCGACATAGTTATTGATCACAAGTGTCCCTGTGGTCTTTCTCGATCATGGTCGTCCCCGCCAATAACAAGTGAAAACAACGGTAGTATAGAGGATAAGCGAAAAACTTCAATTGGAAGCATGTTATGGTCTCATATAGGGAAATTTTCAAGCAATTTCAGCCCTATTAAGTACTGAGAAGCTCTCATTTGCTAGAACTGGTGTTCTGCATGCAGGAATGTCCTTGCCAAGTATCTGTGTACATAGAATTTTTAGTTAGTTTTCATTTTTCTCCTCATTCTTTTAGATTGTTCTTGGTGCTCACTCTGTAAATATATATTGATGACAAATAAAATCACTAACTAATTTTTACACAAAAAATGTGCTCAAAGATAGTGACTTCAAAAAATGATGATTATAGTGACTTCAAAAATCTATGACATATTTTAGATTTTTTAATGTAGATTTTTTCACAATTCAAGATGTCAACACTTGACTTATAAATGACATGTTGGCCGCTTGCTACAATCTTTTTGCTACAAAATTTGGAAGACTTAGACTAATCAAAATTCTACTTGCGTCGCTCACGTAACAATCCCTCTACATTGCTTTATCCTCCTTCTTTGGAAGTTCATAGTATCTCATTTCACCATGTTGATTATTTTTCAAGTGTAAGATTTTTCTTCCATGTTTATTCAAATCCAATACAGCCAAGTCTAAATTTAAGATTCTATGTTATGATTTAGATTTCAAAAGCTTGGGTTGTAAAAAAATTATTAAGTTTTTTAAGTAAAATGTTTTGATTGATAAGTCTGCTTGAGATACATAATCATTTAAAAAAAAATTTAGTGAAATTTGAGCTCCATTTAAAAAATGTTTCTGCATTCAGAAAAATATCTTATTTTCTTTCTACTTGAAAGTGGGTGCTTTTATTTTCTTTCTACTTGAAAGTGGGTGCTACAAAGCCCCCACAAAATTCTTTTAGAATGATCCATCTGAAACTCACTTTTATGTTCTAATGTAAATATTCTATATGGAAGGGGTTATTTAATGGAGGTTTTTCAAAATTGCCCACAAAATCCATCCAAAAAAGAATTTATCTAGTAATTTAGTGTTCGTGTTTAAAGCTTTCAAAAACATTAAAATATGAAAACCTAGTTATCGAAAGGATTCTTCTGAAAATGGTGTAAATTAGAAATTTGAGAGGTTTTGAGATTATTGAGAAGTCGGATTGAGAATTTTTCATTTAAAATGGGAGGACCAATTTCATGTGTAGGTGAAAATAATGGATCAAAACTATAATTATAAATTTTTAGAAAAATTCGTAAGTGTTAAGTATTTGAAAAAAAATCTAAAAAAAATAGTTGTACTCAAAAATCCAAAAAAGAAAGAGAAACGAGATATATAGGTAAAAACTCTGGTGCAAATAGTAATTCATTTTTTATTAAGGTAAATATATAACCAAAAAGCTTCAAACTCGTATTAGACGAGCCCACACACTTTGAAATTATTAAAATTATGACTCTAGAGGTAAAATTGGTGTTATTAACCATGCGATCATCACTATTACAAAGTTACATTTCTTTCACTTAACTTGAATTTTAAAGTTCCTTCAAAGTTGAAATAGCCAAACAAAAAAGGGCGTGGAATACATGAAAGAATCATTCAAAATCCTAAGATACAAATAACTTCTCATATCTAAGGACTTTGTTTGACCCTGCCATAACCATCCCAAATAGCCTATATTTTTGAATAATCTTTTTGACACAGAAGTCAATTATAACGAATATGGAATATTGTTAATAGGAGAGTCTCAACGTACGAGTAAATATTACCAAAGTGGACACTAGTTTCACTAAATCATGTTACCTTATCTTTACTCCTTGAAATAGTTTAATAATGAAGTAAAACAAATACTAAATAACTTACTCTTGGGTTCTTAGTCATTCGGTTATATTATGAATTAATGTCGTCAAGAACAAAACAAAATATGAGAAAAGATTGAGTTTCTTGAACAAACACAAGAAATCCTATACATTTTACAAAAGATAGAAAAGAAAGAAGAAGAAGAATAAAAATTGGTGGTTAAAACTGTTTTATTATTCACTTACTCAATAAGGATACAAAAATTACAAGTGAATACCAACAATTAATTTCTCTCAACAACCTGAGAGAACTAGTCTATTTATAGACTATTAAGCTAACTTGAGCAACAAGCAAACTTAAACAATTTTCCTTACAAACAATGCCCAATTTAACATGTTAACTTAAACAAAAAGGTAACATATTTCGACAGCATGCTTGAACATACTTCTACTACAACATGCACAACTCCTGTCGAACCATGAAGTTACCCTTGACGACACTAGAGTTCGATCCAAATACCATAAATCTCCACCTTGGAACAAACTCTACACTAATAAGGGAAAAAAAACTAATTTTTATCATGCAGCTTTATCAATGCATACAGTGGAAAATTTTGCTACTCAGAAATGTCTTGGTGATCATATCAAGAACATTGTCATCAGTCGAAACCTTCAGCACTTGGACTTCTCTGTTGAGACAAGTTTGGTTCATACCATGTATCCTCTAAGGTTTTGATGATGACAAAGTTTAAAAAATAATTATGATTTCTAACTACCTAGTTTGTGTGTGCAGAATTATATTTAGTTGATGAAACTAGTTCTGACACAGAAGTAGCTTTGGTACGGTTATGATCATACACTCGTGAGAGATTCTGATCAAAAAGCAGCTACTAGTACACTCCAGAATCAGAAGCGTTTTATGCCTACCTCTGAGACTGATTAGTGTTAACTCAGCTCTACTAACACGAGACTCGAGAGATATTGACATTATCTTCAACAGATTGTGTTATACTTGAATCATAGATAAGTCCTTTAGACAAAGGCCTTGTTCTGTGAATAATTCCTTGACTGAAAGTTCCAACACCTGCTTTATTGTAAAAGAAGATGTACTAGAATATTTGATCTGATTATAGCCGTTGTGGATGCTCCAATGACTATATTTCTTCAACTATAAAAGGAGCAGAAGATTTGAAGATCAACTCAAGAAATAACGCTGCAACTGCTGCATATCAGAAGCAAAATATGTTAAGAGTTCTTATTCTTGTATAGTTTAAGAATCCTTTGTAAAAGTGTGTTACATTATATTTGAACACCTTTGATTGCTAATCAAGTGTTGTTGTAAGTTATTCTTTCTCTAAATAGTCAGTTTAGATAAAATTATCTTGATGTATGCTTGAGTAGAGAAGTCTTAGACAGTGAGTCTGCGCAGAAAGTTCTGGATTGAGGATCTGAGCAAGGAAAGTCTTAGACAACTAAGCAAGAAAGTCTTGAATCAGGTGGTCTGAGCAAGGGAAGTCTTAGGATCTAAGATCAGGTGCTGATTGAGTAGGAAAGTCTTAGACTGGAGGTCTGAGCAAGGAAAGTCTTATACAGGTGTGTATAAGCAAGTGTAATCGGGTTGGTTATAGTGAAAAATCTCTTGCAAGACAAAGGGAATGGAGTACTCTCAGTTGGGAGAGGAACTAGGATAACTGTTGTATGTTTTTTGCTATTTTTACTTTACTTCTGTTACATTTTCCGCTGCACTTATTATCAGATTCTGAACTCAGTTTTGGAATCTGAACTCAGTTTTAGAATCTGAATTTTGGTTCAGAAGTAAAACAAATTTTGCAAACACAATTCAACTGCCCTTTCTTGTGAATTTTTATCGCCTTTAGTTGGCATCAGAGTAAGGTTTATACGTAACACTTAACAGCGGTACGGTCAAAGATCCAATAAGAAAAATATGGCTACTGAGGATACTAATACCCGTACCTCAGAAAGGGAATTTCCCTATGATTATAGTAGCTCTGTGAGAAATCATTACTCTGCTAAACCTCATGTATTCAGTGGTGACTCCACTGAGTTTGAATGGTGGAAAAGCAAGATGTATACATATATCATTGGACTCGATGATGAGCTATGGGATATACTTGAAGATGGTATTGAAATCGTTGTTGATAGTGTTGGTATGGTATCTGACAAGAAAACTCTGACTCCTACTTAAAAGAAAATTTACAGAAAGCATCATAGAGTCAGAGGTATTTTGGTAAATGCTCTACCACATGCTGAGTATTTGAAAATCATTTATAAGTCTTCTGCAAAGACTATATTTGAATCTCTATGCTCTACCTATGAAGGAAATCAGCAAGTTAGAGAAGCAAAAGCTAACTTGTTGATACACAAGTAGGAGCTGTTCAAGATGAAGGACGATGATGATATTGAAACCATGTTCTCCAGGTTTCAGACTCTCGTATCAGGCCTTCAAGTGCTAAACAAGAGCTATTCTACAACAGATCGTATGCAGAAGATTCTGAGAAGTCTTCATCACAAGTTTAGACCTAAAGTTACAGCTATTCAGGAAGCTAAGGACCTGAATATGTTGTCTCTTAAAAGTTTAATCAACAATCTTCAAACTCATGAGATTGAACTAAATGGAGATGAGTCTTCAAAGAAACTTAAATCTCTTGCTTTGAGATCTGCTTCTGAAAAATCTAGTGAAAAGTACAGAAGATCTTCTAAGAGCAGTAAACATGATGAAACTTCTGAAGAAGAGTCTTATGGAAGATCAGATGATAATGACATAACTTGCTTCATGAAAGGATTTCAGCAAATGACTAGAAGAAACATGATATTTTCTAAAATTAATAGGAGATCCAACTTCAAAGAAAAAGAAGAAGACATGATCTGCTACAACTGCAACAAGCCTGGTCACTTCAGATATGACTGTCCTGATCTTCAAAAAGACAATCAGAAGAAAGGAAGTTGTCAGAAGGATAACTTCATAAACAGATTCAAGAAGAACTTTATGGCAACATGGGAACAGCTGGATGATGAAGATTCAGAGAAGGAAGATGATGTCAATCTTACACTAATGGCACACTCATATGATGAAGGACTATTATCTGAATCTGAAGACGAAGATGAGGTATACTCTTACTCTAACTTTATCTCATATGCTAATAATCTTATAAATTATTGCAAGGATCAAGCTAGTCATTTTGAGAGAGGAATTAAAAGAAATTAGTACATCCCAAAATGAATGTTCATCTCTGTGTAAGCATGATCAAGCTTTTTATAAATTCATTACATTTGGAATTGATTGAACTAAACTTGCATTTATGATTTATGGAA